GCTAAAAAAATATTTAAAAATTGAAAAATATGATATCAAAGTGATGTTTCAGCCACTATAAAATGGCACTGATTAACAGCTCACATTTCTGCTACATTTGACCCTAGGACAGGTGAGTCCAGACGCAGACCTCTGGCCAGTGCCTAAGCATGGCGTTGTAGGTCTACTGATGTTCCAATGTTACTTCAGCCTGTCACCAATCTGTCACCCTCTTCAGTGAGCTTTCAACGTCACTGACACATTCTGGATGCAGGTTAAACACCCACGTTGTATTGGGGCATTTCCTAGGCTGCCACCCACAAAACACATGCAAAACATCTCTTAGGGTGAGTCACTGTGAGAGATATTTTGAACTGTTTTTTTTTTGCTGTTTTTGTTTCAAAACAGGTCTATTTCTAACTCAAACCTTTTATATACTGGGAACTCCCCAGCTAGCTAAGTGATTTGGTGGTTGTTGGATCATAAAGAATTCTGCCCATAGGCCATCAGTGTAAGCTTACTCCAACTTATAAATGAGCAATAGTGACAATGTAATCTTTGTTTTTATCCAGTGTGTGTGTATGACAATGTCCAGCACCAGGCTCTCTCCTTCCACTATGTTGGACCCAGGGATCAAACTCAGGTCATGGGGCTTGGCAACAAGTGACCTTACCCACTGAGCCATCCTGCCAGCCCAACATTCTAATCTTTAATGAGTAGCCACTGTTCCAGGTACTCGTCTACAGTATCATTCAGTGGTCACCAAGCATGACCATTATCTTAATTTTTTTTTTCCATTTTATTTTGTTGTTCGTTTTGCTTTGCTTTTTTTGAGACACGGTCTTACCATATAGATATGGCCACTCTGTAGACCAGGCTGGCCTCAAACTCACAGAGATCTGCCTGCCCCTAACTCAAAAGTGCTGGGACTAAAGGCACGCACCAGTATGCCTGGCCTATTATCTTGATTTTTAAAGAGGTGGAAAAAGAGTTACCGAAAGCTGGGAGGATAGCTTAGCAGGTGGGGTGCTTTGAAAGCACAAGAATACAGGTTTGATGGTCAGAACCCATGTGAAATGTGTCAGGTGGCACATGCTTATAACCCTGGTGCTAGGAAAGCAGGGCCAGGTGGATTTCTGGGGTTTACTGGCCGGCTAGAAAAGCCTATTTGGCGAGTGTCAGGCCAATGAAAGGCCCTGTATTAAAAAACAACAACAATGTATGGGTGTGGATAGATAGCTCCACAGTTAAGAGCTCTTGCTACTCTTGCAGAGGACCCAGTTTTGGTTACTAGCATCCACATGGCAGCTTGCAATTTCTGTAACTCCAGTTCCAGGGGGTCCCCATATCCTCTTCTGGCTTTCAGGGGCACCAGGCAAACACATGGTAGCGTTGTCTGACAACTTCCTTGGGATTGAAACATTTCATCTTGAACAGAAGCTCCTTAAAACAGGAAGGAAAACAACTCAAAAATAGCTTCAGGAAGTCCCTGAAACTGACTGGATTCACTAGGCTGCTCCCTGCCAGAGTAAGGGATCAAAGCTCAGGGTCCCTCTCGGACTAAAAGAGATAGATACATTGCAAAGACGATTGTGAGACAAGACTTGCTGCCTGGAAGAAGCAGCCGCAAGCCAAGCTGCCTGGAAGAGGTTTAGACCAACACTGGGAAAGAACAGTCTCCAACCCATTGAGCTGCCTGCAGGCCATGCAGTGTGCCCCAGGTCCCCAGCTTTGTGGGCTGTCACCCCTGCTGGGGGTGGGCTTTGGAGATGCAGCTGTCTCTGAGTCATTTCTGCTCCTGTAAATAACTCTTCGCCCATATTATTATAAATGACCCCCTTAAAAGTCTTGGTTTACTAAAGTAGACTTTGGTGGTATCTGTGCTGGTTTCTCATGGGATCCCTACTTAGGGTGAATGGATGTGTGTGTTGCATCTCCCTGGAAGAGTTTTGTCACACATACATATATCCAGACAAACAGCCATCAACAACAACTATCCAAACAACTTACAAACAAATAAAATGACTCAAGATGGATGGCACCTGAGGAAATACACCTTAAGTTGTCTGCAGGCCTCAGTAAGCATTTGCACAAACTGGCACTGGGTGTGTGTGTGTCTCTCTCTCAAGAAACAGCCCAGATCAAATCCAACTGTGCCACTTTCAGGAGTCTATCTTATTTCTTTTTTGGTTATTTTTGAGACAGGGTTGCTCCATGTAGCCCTGGCCTTGAACTCAGCGATCTGCCTGCCTCTGCCTCTGGAGTGCTGGGATTAAAGGAGTGCACCAGGCTCTCAGGCTACTGTCTTAACCAGCCCACACAACTGCCTCTAATGCAAAGACCCTTCACACAGTGCTTTGCACTCTGCCTTGAGTTGCACTGCAACCTGGCAGGACTCAAAAAAGGCAATCTGCAGCAGCTCAGCATCACACTACGGTTTTTAAAACCTCTACAGGCATGAAGCAAGGATCCAAGCAGAGTAGCCTCAGGTGAATCTAATGAAGTGTAAATGGAATATCTTTAACACTATTTTTGTAGCATTTCTGTAAATCTGAAATGTCAAAATGAAAAATTAAGCCAGGCTGGTGTTGGCACAGATCTTTAATTACAACACCTGGGAGGCAGAGGAAGGCAGATCTCTGTGAGTTCGAGGCCATCCTGGTCTACAGAGCAAGTTCCAGAACAGCTGGGGCTACAAAGGGAAACTCTGTCTTAAAAAAAAAAAAAAAAGAATAATATCAGTTGATCTAGAGGAATCTAGAAAGTGAATGTTTAAAAAGTAAATGAGGATCTATAGAAAGTGAATATTTCCAGAAAAAAATGTGTTTAATTGATCCTATTTTTGTGAAATAAACAATGACAAGATTCATCCCCTCCACCCCCGTATATCTTTATGTGGATAAAATGAAATGTTCAAGTTAAGTTAAAAAAATAAAAATCCAGAGCCTAGCTCCTGCTTAGCTTAGACATAGGCATGGGGACAGATACCTTCTTTCAAGGGTCTCCCAGATCAGGTCTCCTGATTTCACCACCTATTAGACCAGCTGGGGAAGTTTTAAACAGTCCTAACGATCAGCCACAGGCCAGACCAATTAAATCAGAGTGCTCACATGAGGGTTCGGTCTTGAGTGCTTAAAATTCCCTCCGTAGCTTCCAATATACTAGCTGGGCAGAGAACCAGCTGGCCAGACCCTTCTCGAGGGCCAGGGCTGAGGAGCAAGGCTGGGAAGCAAAGTCACATGTGCAGTGTTATTAAGCATCAGGCACAGATGCCCACGTCAGTCTGGGGAAACAGGCTGGCTCCACAGATCAAACAGCCCAATGGCCAGAGGTCAAGAATGAGAAGGGGAGTGTACATTCTGGGCCCTGTTTACTCTTGACCAGAGTGGTTGAAATTTCTCGGATTGGTTCTTCTCTCTCTATCTGTCTCTTTCCACCCCCTCCCTCTCTCTTAGTTTTCTAAGACAGGGTTTCTCTGTGTAGCCCTGGCTGTCCTTGAGCTCACTCTGGCCTTTTACTTAGGAATCCACCTTCCTTTGCCTCCCGGGATCAAAGGCGTGTCACCACTGGCCTGGCAGGAATTAATTTTCTTAGGGGTCATTAGAAACAGTTACGCTGTACAAGAGCCTGGGTTCAACACCCAGCACTGAAAAACACAATGACTTTAGAAAAAAGAAGACAACAAAGGGTTGGGTTGGAGAGACAGCTTACTTTCTAGGCAGGAGAACCTGAGTTAGCTCCTTAGAACACACACGAAAAAATGCTGAGCGGTATTCTGTGTGTTTGGAATCCCGGAACTGAGGAGGCAGAGACAGGCAGATCTCTGGGGCTCGCTGGCCTGGCCAGCCGGCCTAACTGGTTAATTCTATGCCTTTGAGAGATCATGTCTAAAAAAAAGAGAAAGAAAAAAAGAAAAAAAAGTACATAGTTTGAAGAATGATACCTGAGGTTGCCTTCTGCTGTCCACATATGTAGATACACGCACACACATACACACACAGCACTACTACCACCGAAGAACAACCAAGAAGCAAGCACTCGGAGCTTGAAAGGAGGAGAAAGTGAGAGTGAAAAATGTAGTATATAGAAGAATGTAGTATAAGTCAGCCTGACCCTGTCATTTCCCCTTCTCCAACACCCCCTTCCGGAGCAGCCAGATTCCAATCTAAAACTGCCAAAAGCCAGGCATGGTGCTGTATCTCCCTAATCCCAGTGCTTGGGAGCCAGAGGCAGGTGAACTGGCCAAGAGTTCTGGGCTAGTTTGGCTTTAGAAAAACAAAACAAAACAAAACAAAACAAAACAAAACAAAACACCACACACACACACACACACACACACACACACACAACATGTGGCTGGGTACGTACTCTTCGTAAAGTGTTTGCCTAGCACAGAGGAAGCAAAGGCCTGGGTCCCCTCTCCCCCAAAGACGGCACCCCATGAAACTGAATAGTGTGGTAGACAAGTATACCTGCATCCCCGTCTGAGACCCTTCATAGACCCTTTCCAACAGCTTTTGGACCTGGTCTTAAGAGAGGACAGTCAAGTCAGTACTGAAACACTCGAAGAGGCCAAAGAGTGGTGTGCTTTGGCAAACACTGCTAAGGTTGGACCAAGAAGTTGGGGTAGGCAGTTGAGGAGCACCGTTTGCGTTAAGGCAGGGACTTCTGATCGTTGGTGTTTGGCGGAGAGCCAGGTCTGACTTCTTCCACCTTCATTTAGGGTAGGCCCTTTTCGGACAGTCGGACAGAACCTGCAATAGGTGTACTTGAGCCAGCTGTACTTGAGCCTTGGCCTGGCCTTCCACTTTTATTGAGGATTTCCTGAGTGTTCACTTCCCATATATCAAATACCACTTTAAGTGTTTTCATTTATTAGCTCATGCAATGCTTAGAACAGCTAATCAGTTAAGTGCCTGGTGACCGATGAGGAAGCCGAGGCCCCGGAGGACTTAGGTAACTTATTCAAGGCCATAGGGTGCGTATGTAGTAAAAAAAACTTGAACCCGGCAGTCAAACTCTCCAGTCACCTAAATACCAGTGACATTAACATCAAAATAAGGATAATTCCGGAGAACAAACCACGTGCCAAGCACTAATACCCACAAGGTGAGGATGAGACATTTGCAACTGAATGTCCTTGGGGGCCCGGATGAGGCAGGGTTGCCTAAGAGACCATCGACTTACAGAAGGTTCGGCCTCTCCTGAAGTCAGCAAGTTGCGGTAGGGCGGCTGAGTCGAGCAGAGCGGCCTAAGGAAAATGAAAACGTCAGCGGTTTGTGCTGTGCAGAGTTCCCCACCTCCTTCTGATCAGGCAGTGCTTAAAGAATGACTTACTAAACTGAGTTAATGGGACTACAGCATTTGACTCAGGGTATTTTTGAACAAGCTCGACACGGGCTCCATTTACTCTTGTTTTTCAAAGTTAAGGGTCAAAGTTCAGATAGGTGCTTTAAGTTCGTTTACAAGTTGCCCATTTGATCCCCTGCCAGGCACTGGAAACCTCAGAATGAATGCTCCTGGCTATGGGTTAGGCAGTGGAGCTAGGGACACAATCAAGTCCACCTCAGTCTTTGGTTGCCCTGTGTTACACCTCAAATAGGGGGGCTTTCTGTGGTTATGGCAACACTGGCTAGAAAACCATCAACATTCAAGCCACACGCAGCCAACGTCTCCACAGACCCTGATGCCCTCTGCGTTTACCCTGCTACAGCAGCTCAATCTAGGGTCCTGAAACTTTACGGAACTCGGCATCCCACTGCAGGATACTCTTCCGAACTCTCCTTGATCTTGAAGCTGGCTCTCTGCAACCGTGACTCGGCGTTGCAGTCCTGACATCATCGAACGGGCGTCTCCTCCTAAGGCTGCAGTAGCGGCAGCGGCGGCTTTCCCGCCCCTCCGGGCTCACCAGGTGCGGGGCGCAGCGCTCAACGTGCCGACCTTGCAGGTCCCTCCAGGGGCGGGGCCGGCGGCGCAGCCCGGCCTCAGCGCACGGCGGCCGCCGTGGGCGTCGGGGCGCCGGCTCGCCCTCCCCACTCTGGGACCCCGGCAAGGGGAACTCCGAACGGCGGGGGAGACCCGGGCCCGGCTCGCCGACCCTCGCCCCGGCTCCTCCCTGCAGCAGGCGCCCCCCACGCCTCTCCGCCGGCGCGCGCGCCCAGCCCCGCCCTCCGGCGGCGCACGCACGGGCCGCGAGCGCGCGCCTCCC